GCTCAACACTCCCGGTGAAATGCGCACCGAGACACCGGTCGGCTCGGTGACGGTGACTCGGTACCGGGCTGGGCCGCGGCCCACATTGGTCACGGTTCTACGGACAGTAACGGAGCCGTTGAGATCGGAGACGGCAATCGATGGATAGTTGAGGTCGGAAGGAGACGGTGAGGTCTCGGGGCAGGGGAAGGAAGGGTCCATCTGTGCTCCGATGCTGGAGCATGCAAAGAGCAAGTAGTCTTCGTAGGAGGCGTCGTAGACGAGCCCCGGGTCCGACGCATGGTTGGGTCGTACGTGACCCGACCCGAACTCCAGCGGCCCGGCAGCTTGGCCTGCCGCATCCGTTAGCGGCCCTCCTCGGGTGTTCACCACAGCAGCTGAGAAGGAAGAAAGCCAATGGCTTGAATGAGAAGACGGGCAGAACGAGTATTCTAAGCCGTGCAAGCATGAGGGTGTACCGGTGGTCATCATGGCCGATCTAATGGCCGCCGAACTCCAAGAGGGGTGCAGGGACTTGAGCAGGGCCGCCACGGCCGACACATGGGGGCACGACATCGACGTCCCCGAGTAAAGATTGTACTTGACGCTACGGTGATCGTCCTCGAGCTTGGTGGGCGACGACGATTCACTCCATGCAGCCAGGATGTTCAACCCTGGTGCCGTGATGTCGGGCTGCGCGAGTCGCAAAGCTTTAATCGTTACCCTGGATCATCTCGAGGTCAATCGAAATTACCTTGAGAATGTTGGGTTCGACGCGGTTGGGACCGCGGGACGAGAAGGCGGCCATGACGGGCGCCGGCGTGACGCCCAAAACGGTCCGAGCCGAGCCTATCTTTGCGCTCGGCCTGCGGGCTGCTTCGATGTACTTTAGGATGGCTATTGCGTCATCGGACGACACAGCGGTCCCCGGGAGGACGTGGGCGTCCACAGGGATCTCGTTGCCATTGGCCACCGCATTCCCCAGTATGATAGCCGCGCCACCCGCCCGCTTTACCTCCAATCCTTTGGCCACTCTGAGCCCACTCCCTCTCAGGCAAACCACTATCTTCCCTCTCACCTTCTTGGCATCCAGAGAATTGGGCAGGCACTGCCTGTTGGATGGATATCAACGTCGAAGACTTGAAATCATCATCGAGCAATTGATCATTATATAGGAAGCGGAAAATGTACCCAGAGACATTGCCGGGAGTGCCAGGAACCACAGCGTCGCCTGCATAAACTAGAGGGTAGAACTCCGAACTCTTCAACACAGATGGTGTCACGGTTTGGCCCTGATGCAGATCAGTAGGTAGAGTGAGGAGGCCATTTATTTAGCAGCTTCGCTAGTCGCAGGTGATGCATGCACGAGTCTTCGTACCTTGATGGTCACTCCATTACCGAGTAGGACCAGAGAATCGAAAGCGCGGTCGATGCTGCTGGCGCCGACGGTGATCATCCATGGCGCGAGGTTCGACACGGTGGCCGGCGCCGGGCCGTCGTTCCCGGCGCTACATGCCACGACGATATCATGCTTCGCGGCGTGGAGCGCGCCGATCGCGATGCCGTCGTTCGAGTACTTGGGAGGCACTCCGGTCGCACCGATCGACACGCTGAGCACGTGGACGCCATCGCCGATGGCGTCGTCGAAGGCGGCGAGCATGTCGGCGTCGAAGCAGGTGTTCTCGATGTTGGGGTTGGGGCCGGGAATCGGCCAGCAGACCTTATAGATGGCGAGACGGGCGAGCGGGACGCCGCCGGCGGCCGTCCCCCTGGCATAGCCGCCGAGGGCGGAGACGCCGGGGACCACCCGTCCGGCGACGGTGGAGGCGGTGTGGGTGCCGTGGCCGTCGTGATCACGTGGGGAGCGGTAGGCGTATGTTCGATTGAGGGAGCCGTAGTACGCCTCGTAGCCCTTAAGGTAGTAGCGAGCTCCAATTATTTTTCTGCCATGCACCACCACAAAGTCAACATATTGAGTCAAACAAATACGAGAACGGAATAGAATAGATAGGAATCAAGAGACAATACGTCATTATTAACAAAGAGGAAGGCACCGTATTATCTCACATTTTTTTGGTTGTGCATATTAATACCATTAAATCAAGATTTAAAACATCAAAGAGATATTCTATATATATACACATATATATATATATATACATACATACATACATATATATATATATATATATATATATACATACATATATATATATATACATATATATATATATATATATATACATACATATATATATATATATATATATATATATATATA